TGTTAACAGATTGAGCTTTTGCTACGTCGATCCCCACGACGGCCTGCATTATAATATTCCTGCGATGGTTCAGAAGTCTTGGGCAAATCAGATCGTAGCTGGAGATGCTACCGTGGTTAACCCTAGCCCGATGACCTTAAATGCGATTCGAGAACAGGGTCCAATCGCGGCTGGCGCTCGGCGGACTAAACCGACGTCGGCATAACGCGTACAGAGCAATATGGAGGGGATGATAGGCGGTATAGCCGGCGGGTTAAGGGACTATATGGAGGTGATGATGCAGCAACAGCTGATGTCGTCGATGGAGAACCGAGCCCGTCGTGAGGAGCGACAAATGGAGAAGGATGAGGAGCGTAATGAGCAGAGACACCTACTCCGGAGTATAAGTATGCCCATTCCTCCTGGTAGTGTCTATCCGACCGCAATGCCGGGAATACCGCCTGTATTTCCCCATTCAATACCGGTTCCTATGGTTAACCCGTAAGTCGGCATCCGCTTCCTACCGTCAATATATTAACAAATACTTATAGAACCATTAGCAACCCATATGCGCCGTTCCCTCCCGCAGTACCAATAGATGCCCCTGTTCCGTCTATAACAGGACTTTCCCCTGCCCCTGTCCCTGGTCAAGCGCAACCGCAACTACGTGCTCAACCGCTTGGGTCTCCGGCTCCCATGATGCCTCCCCCGGCTGCCTATCCTCATGTTGCACCTTCAAGTCCGATCGCGATAGACGAAGAGGATTCGACTTTACTTAATGCTTTCTTCGAATAGATAATCACAAAGACAAAGAACCCGGCCAGGGCATTGAAACTTGAGCACATTCGCGACATTATCGATGACCAAGATTGGTCGGTTAACGATGTAAAGGCGATGGCAGATCCTTCTTCGTTTATGTATAGGCAGGCGAGAGATATGGGCATTAGCGATGGGATAGCACGCAGCCTCCAAAACGACCTCCGCCAGTTTAAACAGGTCTTTCGAAGTCGCAAGAAACATTCCTCTGGAAGCCCTCCGGCGGAAGCTGGAGCGATGTTAAGCTGACGATTAAGATCGTCACGGGATACGACCTTTTTCTCTACCATTTTGCCTTATTTCTTTACTCATTATGGCCTATATATATCTTCGATCTCACTACTTCCTTATTACCTAAAGTTACTCCTCATCTTCCTCATCTTCCTAGAAGGGTTCACCATTATTAACTACTCGCTCGTTAATATCGTTATAGACCAGAACGTCGTCCTCGAGAACAATATTCTCCTGATACCCTACCCTCCCATTTTCAAACCCACGGAGTTATACACGAAGCTCATCATATCGCTGGTCAGAGATATAGATCCCGTGAGCTGCGTTTATAAAATGCTCGAGCCCAAAGCGGTCACATTGACTGCGCGTAATAGCAAAGTCGAGGAACTCGCCAAAGTTGCCACATAGATGGCGCGTATAGACGTGATTACGTCTAATCTAAGCTTTAAGGACCGACCAGACCATCTCGATGGGGTTGTAGTCTGGGGAGTAGGGTGGCGTAAAACGTACAAGATGTCCTGCTTCCTCGAGAAGCCTTATAACATCCTCTGAAACATGCGTCGAACAGTTATTAAGTATGATAACGCGTGGACGAGGAGAGTCTCTAGCCAAAGACGGAAGCAGGACGTCCCGTAGCCACTCAATCAAATGCTCTCGACTGTAGTAGCCTTAGCGTATGCCATAGGCAATTAAGCCTCTGATCGTATACGCCCCGATAGCAGCCCAAGTCTTTCCCCGATGCATGTTCCTGAAACCGCGGGATTCATGCCCAATGGGCGAATAACAACGGTATCTCCAGCCCGTCTTCTCATTGAAGATCGACTCGTCAAGGAAGACCATATCATCGGCGTCAAACTGACGAAGCTCCGCTTGATACGCTTCCCGCATCTCTTGTGACCGATTCCGCGAGATCTACCTCATTCTTTTTCGTGACCAGCGTCTCCGCTTAACCACGCGGCATACCGTAGACTCGCTAACGTGTACGCCTCTTTCCATATCCAACCAGAATACGAGTTCATCAAGATATAGCCACCCTTCCTGGAGTAGTTTCTCGAAGAGCGCGTCTTCGTCTGCTTGCGACAATAAACAAGGACGGCCCCGTTTCCGGCGGTATGGGGCACGAAGAGAGCCATATCGAACAAGATGTGCACGATAGCGGTAGATAGTAGAAACTCCTAGGCCAGTTTCCGCTGCAATAGCTTGTGGTGACCAACCTAGGAGGAAATATCTAATGCATTGAGCGCGTTTCGTGTCTTCTACGCCATGGTAGTCATACTGCAGCTCTAAAGGCTGGCTAAAATCGCGTCAGTAATTTAAACTATATTAGTTCTCTAGGAATATATACATTTCAGACATTTGAGCCCCGAATTCAGCGCGTTGTGGCCATAAAATGGGCGATATCGCGTTTTCTGGTGGAATTGCGGGCGGGACACACACACACTCAAAAAAACGCCAAGCGTTCTCTCACATTTTGCAACCGCCAGCTATATCTCGCGCGCAGAGGCGCTGGTGGATTTCTTCCTTCTCTCTCTTCAGTTTAGATTAATGGAACTTGGTAATCGCAGACCTTGCACATCCAAACCGTGTCATCCGCAACGATTTGATGGATAATTATCCGGATAATCGAAAGACCTATCCGTATCCGCGAAATAGGCCAAATTTCCTATCCGGATAGGCCATATCCGCGGATGATCCGCGATATCCGTGTATTCGTGCCGGGCTCTACCGCCGATTATGTAGGTACTGGTACGGACGAGAATTGGTCGAGCACTTAAAATGGCTCGAAGGTAAACACTAGGGTTTAATTGACCTTTTATGCAGAATCTTGAAGCATGAAAGGAGCCAATGGCATCCAGTTGCAAGACTGTGTACGTTTTATAGTAAAGCGAAGAGAGTCATAAGACTTTGAGCAAAGGTATAAACACAATGACCCAGGCTCAGACAGGAAAGATGATGTACTACCGATGCAATACATAAATGTTCCCATTTGGAGGGCGGACTACTGTACATAAGGTATAAACTATCAAGGGAACCGACTCAGATTGTTGTCCGACTCTATTGTTCATCGACCACTTGCAACTCAGGCATGCAATATTCCTAATACTTGGCAATCCGCTTTAAGATGTACAGTGTTGCGTGCGTGCAGGAATCCGGAGCGACGCTTTCATTAGTCCTACTCTTCAAGCCTTTTCCACCCTAAATTATCGTAGACACTGCTCGACATCGCTCCAGACGGTCGGTGGCTAGTTGCATATGCGACCAAAGCGTGTTGGTCTGGTGAAGTCGCTCAATGGCTGCCAGACAGCCTTCCGGAAAGGGTAATACAAGTACGAAAGCACGTTGAGATCGAGATTTTCGCATTATAACGTTCGATCCAAATGCCATGCCGCTCCGTCTTCCTTCAGTTGGATATCCCTGCTCTTTGCCTCTCTCCTTAGTGCTTCTCCATGTGTCATTCCATTCTTTGGCTCTGTACATATCAACAATGGGAGCGCTGAGGACTTCCACCCCGGCAGATTATTGGCATGTGTTGACCACATTGTAACTAGCACCAACGCGGTCGTTATGAGCCACGCTAGGGTGGGTAGCGAGAGCCACCAAAGCTTGACAATATAGTATTGCTCCGCAGAGAACGCTGATCCACTGATAGCGAGGTTGCCGTTCGCGTTTCTGCGCAATCTACAACACAAAGTTAGACCGAACTGCCGTTGTGGCTACGGGAAACGTACGTGTTTGTTAGGCTGACGGAAATATTTCGGAGCCGGTTTTCTAATCCGCCAATGTCTGTGTTAGAGTTAAGGGTGCAATACAAAGGATCCGGGCCGAAGATATCTTGTCCCAGCGCCAGATCCAATGCACTCTCCCAATAGTTGTCTCCGCCTGCTATGAGGTTTGCGGAGCCGTTCACAGTCTGTTTAATGTTTTCCGCCAGCGCCAACATAGTGCTTCTCTCCATCGAGTAGTCAAGCCTGCCTTCGAGATTTTGTGGATTGTCGACGGGGTAGAATACGTTGCGTAGGCTTGTATCGATTTGCCATGGTGAACGATCCTCACGACGTACAACCGTAGTGGTTGTCGAGCCGTTTATCGCCGTTGTGTTCAGTTCCTGTAAACAAAGATTGAAGGTACCTTTTACGGCCTTCCAGTTTTCTTTAACGGCCTGTGACGATTTCCAGGCCTCCATACTGAGATTTCCGGGAGTGTTGTGGGTGGCAGCGCAAGGCGGAAAATAGACATAATAAACCTCAGCGACCATGTTGACGGGACCAGAGAATGTGCCGTCCGAGCGATTATACAAATTACCTACAGAACCCATCCAGAGGTGGTCTCTTCCAGCAGAATCCGTTCGCCCAGAATAGAGCTCCGGTACTGGTAAAGACAAGTTGAGGTAATTCTCCCCAGGGGGCGGCGTGCTGGAGCCCAGCAGCTCTGAACTAATATCCTCGACTGAGGAACAGATAGCAAGGGTGGTGTACGATTTCCATTCACACCTGCTTGTGGGGCATTCAGCAGGTATGTCGGATAGACTATGGTTGGCAACAGCCCCTGAAATGAGTGCGCGAGAAAGCAGGGAGTCGGCTAAATTGCATCAGCTAGGTCGTACGCGTTGTTTCGTGCAGTACGTACCTTCCGTCCCACCTCCTTGGATATAGCTGAAGGCCATGGTCCCAGACCAAGGTCGAGGTGGAAATGAATCTTCAAAACGATAGCTCCGAGCAGTACTTATGCTCCCCATAGCTGTAGTACTTGAGTTCACAAACCGGATACCGGTAGTGACTGACTCTTGTGTGAAGAATCCGAATGTAAGCATCATTATAGTTACGAAGGCGCCTGTTAACGCGAGCGAACTATAATCATTAGATTGTCGTTCTCTCCAACCTTACCAGCAACTCACGCCGGTAGTACACCAAACTTCCGACCACCCGGCTTCATCCGATTGTATAAGATGGCAATCATCTTAAGGCTCCCCTCTGGACCGCGACTTGCTTCGTCAAACGTCTCGAGTTCTATCATCCGGTTCCTTTCCCGTAGTAAAAACCACTTTGACTGTCCGATGCAGGAGGAGATCGAGATTGCGAGGAACGATTGTGCTGCCTGTGACAGTACGGCGACAACCGTGGATAATTGAAGCGCTCCATCCCAGTTGTCGAACGCCTGGTCCTGGTAAATGATAAGCAATAAGAATATCGCACCCAGAGCGACGCTTCCTAAGAACCAGCCGACGAGCTCCCACCACCACTCGCCCCAAAAAGCCGAACGATCTTTGATGCTTTGTCCAGTTGGTCCAAAACCCGGGCTTTGCGGCGGTGATGTTTCTACCATCAACGGTGCTCCGGCGGACTCCTTCTCCACACCGACTTCGCGAACGTTGACCACCTGCTTTTGCAGTTCTATACTGCTGTGGCCGAAAGAGGGTGGTGAGGCCATACTCGTGTGCTTTCCGAAGCTCTTCCTTCCCCAATTCAACGGTCAATACAAGATAATCGCGCGTCCTGTTCGATCCCATCCAGCGAGGTTGATGTCATGGACTTGGTTCGCTCCGAACTTGGCCTGTGATAGAGGACAATTGATCTAATAAATTGGTGGATTTTCAACTATCCATTCCAGACGGACCTCGTGTGGAGATAAATGCTCCAGAAATGGTTCTGCACTTCGGAACAGCCGTATGGTTGGGTTCGTATTTTGGCGCCTTCCAACGCCGCCATGCACGCTGTCGCGCAGCCAAGATTGCAACGGGAACCCCTTTTGATTCCCCTCCCTTTTCGAAACCCGTCGCTCCCTCAGCGGCGTTTACCTTTCGGATACCAGCATTTGCGAGAAGTCTCTCTGATGAATTTGGAGGCATACCCTTTTTTCTCCTTTTTTTCGTGGCATTCCACTCATCCGCCCAAAAGTCCGATGCAGGCAGTAACATACTATGTACGGTATACAGCTTGGCGTTTGTCGTGGGCGACGGCGGCGGCACGAGTTGAATCTCGGGGCATCCGGGTCATGACCGTGCGTTCTGCATCTCGGTACGCAGACGGGAAAGGATTATTATCCTTCCTGCCTTCCTTAGTGGTTTTCGCCCCCAACTCGCTCAGACACCAACTGGAAGCCTAGAAGATTTTCCACAGGGTACATGTATCGGTATGTTGGTAATGAGTAATTACCGGTAGTAATTACCCAACGAACCAGTCAGTTTATCGTCTCGTGCTCCGTGCTCTACTATGTACCTCTTCCTTTGCCTAGACGTTGATTGAGCGGCCAGTTGAAAACCCGGTTTCGTCTTGCAATTGAAAACACTCCGGAACGCGTCCTTCGGACCCTTTAGACAGCCGTATTATTAGCACGGAAGCGGTCTCGACTCACCGGTGCCGGAAGTCTTCAGGACTGGGCGTCGCATCCACTCTACGATGGCGGAGAGAAGGATGCGGGAGGAGAGCGGAGCGGAATGCAGGGACCATTTTGAGCATGCTATGGAGATCCGACGCTGTGAGTGCGTGCAAGGTACTGGCGCTGTGGCAGGGAGTTTTGGGAACCGCCGGTAACGAAACGCTCCCGTTTCGCCTAGGCGGAAAGACCGCAGAAAACGGCGTCAGAAACCTCCCTTTTTGGAGGCAATTTCAGTAGTACACAAAGTTACTCCGTAGTCTGCCTCTGCAAATTGGCTGAAGTTTGCGGCCAATTAGATTGCAGATCTACTCGAGTGTGCAAACCTAGATCGCGGCGCGTTCTATGCGCCACCTGATTCTGAAGGACCTTCCAGTATGTTAGCTACTGTAGTATTAGTAGCGTAGACAGCCCGCAGATGCCTCCACCACTAAGAACGAGAAGCCGAAGGCAATTGCTAGTATGGTTTTGTGATGCCGGAGGTCGCGAGCCAAATTTAGTGCAGAGATAATATAGTACTAATCCTGCCTTCATTGCCTATCCTTTAGAGGATTATATACTCTAGTACGTACACTCGATCCCCTCGCGTTTAGACATTTCTCCCAGCCGCAAGGTGGATGCCTTATCCTAGCAGTGACTGGGATATACGGGGAAGCTCCCCTAGCGCCTTGGCAGGATGCACTTGTCTCCCTATTTTCTCCTCCTCTCTCGAAAATAGCTCTTCTCCTTTGATTGACGAGGAAGTGATTATCTGCCTCATGTTATGGTTCCGCCCTGCAGCGCGTCCCCAGTTATCACCACGTTGTAATGGTCCCAGGCTGGCGGCCTTGGTCCCAATATTCACTCATTTCCCTTTTGGGAAAGTCACGTAGTAATACAGGATGGTCCTGCGCGTACACGTTGGGTATTCTACACGTACACGTCCCCAAATACTAGGCGTACACGTCCCCAAAGATGGTTAGCCTACTAATTTCTGTGACCACCAACTCGCTCAACGTGCAACTGCAGAACTCGCGGAAATGGTGATATAGAAGTATTAAATATCAACTGTCAGAGATCAGAATGTCTCTGTTTTTCGGGGTCCCCCGGTTTCCTATCTGTGACCCCGTATTCCTAACTATGACAACGCATCATGCATCCCGCGATGTTACCTGCCCCTCATTCTTTGCTTTTTCGCTCGTCTTGAGCAAGTCAAGGTCTCTAGGGCCATGAAATGTATACAGAACTTAAATATGGGCGTATTCCCGCAGTTTTTATACTCATTAGGATCAAGTCAATCTATCTACGCTCTTTTGGAATCTAACGGTGTTTTCCCACTGTATCGCTGCAATGGTCACCTGATTGAGCGAAACCGCCATTTATCTCACATCAACGCCAATCCTGTTCTAAATATGGCTATTTTGGAAATGGGCCTATCTACTATCTCTCTTCCTGCGTGACTAGTTATTATAGTTTGTAATAGCAAGCACTAGAAATTCTGCATCGTAATACGCGTGGGAAGGTAAGGAGATCGGCAACCGAACAAGCGCGTCGCAACGCGTCAAGAGTGTACACACCCAGCAATAGTCGAGCATCAGGAACCTACCCAGCTAGTGGCCATCGTCCCACTGGAACCCACACTATACAATACGTAGGAAGCTGGGCAGTAGAAAGGACCACCAGGAATGCCCTCCCCCCTCCCGAGGGCGCCTCCAGGGAGAAGGGGTACAGCAACACCGACAACCCCAGAACCAGAACCACCAAGTACAGGATCGACCCCCATGGCACCAGGAGTCACAACAAGAGCAGGAACGATAGCCCAAGGGATGGCAAAGGCCAGAGCCCAGGAACTGAACAAACGACTGCAACAAGAGATGGCGACTAGCCAAAAGAGGGACCACGGCTCGAGTGACGCGATTATCAAGATGTTCCGAGACGGCATCGCGTCACTAGAAAAAGGAATCAAAGCACAGGCACTAGAACTGAAAACGGAGAACGAAAGGTTGAAGAGTAAACTAAACTATATGACCAACAAATTCGAGAGCGCCACGAACAAACTCGAAGAAGCTACGAACAAATTCCAGGATATGGAGATCTCGATCGAGACCATAAGGCAAACCCTAGAGAGAGTTGAACAAACGGTGGCGAGCCAACCTAGTATAGCTAGCCCCGTAGGAAGCGCGCGAACGGGATCATACGCCGCAATTACCGCGGCAGGATCGAACAGCCTGACAGTCCCTTCACCGACAATGCTCTCACCATCGATCGCCATCACACCACTAGACACCATCCCAGATCTTCGTTCCGTCTCCGACCCTATCGCGACACGTATACACTCTCTAGGGAACGGCCAGATAAGGAGGGAAAACCATAGGCCACCGACTATTAACCTTAACCTTTCGGTTTCTCGATATAGGTCAGCTGGTAACAAGGAGCTTAAGGAAATGATGAACAAGACCCTACAGGCAACCGACGAAACGAAGAATTGCAAGTGCACTGCCGTACTAAACCGCCGACCAGAGAGCATAGGCTTCGTCTTTCGATCACAACAGGAAGTCGAAACTATAGAGACAGCACTACCGTGGGCCAACGATCCAACGCTCCAGGACATAAAATTGAATATCCGCGAGGATTTCAAAGTCAAAGCAACAGGAGTCGACAGATTCTCAGTAGGCAACCCAGAGTCAGGTCGACGGATCGATGAAAATATTGTTAAGGATATCTGCATCGAGAACGATGCCCAGATCCGCGGCATACGGCTACTCAGCCGGCCATCAGCCCACCTAAGAATTGAGTTAGTGATCTTCTGTAGATCGCAAGCAGAGAAAGATAGACTACTCAACGAAGGATCGATCTCTATCCAAGGAGCATACGTGAGAATTAAAGAGTTCTTCGAAACACCACGAAGCAGACGATGCTTCAAGTGCCAAGGTCCCAACCATAACGCAGCGGATTGTATAGAAGACGCAAGGACTAGAAACGCCCCCCAGGAAGAAGACCCCCTCCAGGCAATAGACGCATGGTCTAGAAACGCCCCCCCAGGAATTCTCTAATGCGTGGTAAACCTCTGAAAATACTACAGGCCAACATAAGGAAAATGCCAGAAGCACAGCACGCACTGATGAACGACGAATCACTACAGGATATCAGCGTTATCCTGATTCAGGAACCATCCTGCTTCCTGACAGACGACGATCGAGTGGTCGCAGCACCATCTACACACTCATATTTCCAACAGTTCATCCCAAACGAAACCCATAAGACACTACGATACCCAGTGCGGTCACTGATCTATGCAAGCCACCAACTGCGACCCAGGCAGATAGAGGTAGGGTCACCAGACATCACAGCAATCGAAGTGGAGATCAACGGACGAGAGATGATTATCATATCAGTCTACGTACCAATACAAGCAGCAACAGTCGCGGAGAGCCAAGCCCAGGTTAGAGAGATACTAGACTTGGTTGAGAACACGATAGTAAGATTCCCGTCCCATAATCTACTAATTGCTGGGGACTTCAACCGTCACGATCAGCTATAGGGAGGGGACAGGGTCAGAGACAACCATAGGGAGGATATTATCCAATTCATACATAAGCAAGGATTATAACTTACCCTCCCCAGGGGTACCTCTACACACAACTCAGGAACCACGATCGACCTCTACATGGTATCAAGCCGGCTATTCGAAGACATACTCCGATGTACAATCTGGCCTACCGAATATAGCTCGGACCATAAAGCAATCGAGTCCCAATTTGACCTAGACCTATACGACTGCACGAACGAGCCAAGAAGGCTCTTCCGGAAGACTAACTGGAAAAGGGTAGCAAAAACCACCAAGGAAGGGATGAAGAACCTACAAATTCCACCGGACAAGAAGATCCTAAAAGAGAAAATCGATGAGTTCAGCACCCAGCTAATCCAGATCGTTACGAATGCGGTCCTCCAAGACACCCCAGTCGCTAGGCCATCGGCATTCTCAAAAAGATGGTGGACAATGGATCTCACAGACCTCAAAATTGCGCATACAAGGGCAAGAAACGAAGCAGCCTCAACGCGAAGAGCAGGAACCCCCAACAACCGCCTAGAAGAGAAAGCCAGAGCAGCTAGGAAAACCTTCCACGACGCGATACGGAGACAACGAAGAACATGTTGGAAGGAATTCCTTAGCGACAACAACAACATCTGGAAAGCCGCAAAATTCCTCCACCCAGCCCAGTCAAGCGCGTTTGGGAGGATATCAGTCCTAAAGTCAAACGAAGGGCTAGCGAAAACAGACCAGGCAATATCAAAGGAACTCCTTACCCAGTTCTTCAGCCAACCGGCAGACGCCCCAGAACCGCCCCAAACTAGAGAAATACACCAACACCCGTGGGAGGAGATCACCAAGGAGGAAGTACGAGAGGCGGTCCATAGAGCAAAACCCTTTAAGGCACCAGGACCAGACGGACTTCCACCAGTAGCCTGGCAGAAGCTGTGGCCAGAAGTAGGAGACCACGTGCATGTACTCCTGCAAGCGTCAGTTAGAGAATCGTACCTCCCAGAGCAATGGAAGATCGCGCGGATCGTCCCGCTTAGAAAACAAGGCAAACCAGACTACACCCTCGCGAAGGCATACAGGCCTATCTCCTTGCTTTCCACCCTAAGCAAGGCGCTAGAGTCGGTGCTCGCAGAACGCTTGTCTTTTCTAGACGAAATGTACGGGATACTCCCAAAGGCCCACTACGGAGCAAGAAAACAGAGATCGACGACCGATACCCTCCAGCTAGTTACAGAGCAAATCTACCAAGCATGGAAACAGAAGAAGATACTATCGCTAGTTACCTTCGATATCAAAGGTACCTTCAACGGAGTCAACAAGGGAGTACTATGCCAAAGACTCAAGGAAAGAGGAATCCCACCAGAGATTGTAAGATGGGTGTACGAATTCTGCGGAAATCGGAAGGCATCAATCATGGTTAATGGCACTGAATCAGAAGTTATGGACATCGCCCACGCTGGTTTACCACAAGGGTCGCCCCTCTCCCCTATCCTCTTTCTCTTCTACAACGCAAACCTCGTCGCAGGGAAGCTAACAGACCGCTCGGGAACGATGGCTTTTGTAGACGACTTCACAGCCTAGGTAACAGGCCTAGACATTAAGAGCAATATCCAGCGAATCTAGGAATAAATCCTACCGAACACCGAAAAGTGGAGCCAGGAAAGCGGTACGCTGTTCGAACCGGACAAGACCCAACTTATTCACTTCACCAGACGCTGGAAACGGGACGAGAACGAGCTCCTGCCACTGGTATTTATGGATAATAAGATAGCCCCAGTATCAGAGATCAAACTCCTTGGAGTCATACTAGACCAAAAACTTAATTTCCAGAGCCACGCGAGAAGAGCAGCGAAACGAGGGGAAATCGCGGCAATAGCGCTCCAGAGACTTAAGGGACTCAACCCGAAAACAGCGAGACAGATCTTTACGGCAACAGTTATACCGACCACCGACTATGGGGCTTAGATATGGTTCCCAGGCTCTGCAGGTACAGTAGCCCACCATATCGAGAGAGCTACCAAACTAGGGGCGAGTGCAATCACGGCCATATTCAGATCGGCAGCGAGCGAGGTCGCAACCGCGGAAGCAGGAGTCGAAACAGTCCAGGAAAGACTCCACGAACTCACCCGGAAACACTGGATCAAGATGCATACAAAACCACAGAATCACTACGGATGGAGGCTCATTAAGCGTCTGTTTAAAGCTAAGACATACAGATCCCCACTCGAAGCTACAGCCGAGCTCTTCCAACACATCAATCTGAAATCGCTTGAGAAGACAGCAGCATTCGTCAAGCCGCCGTGGCAAGACCCGCCAAGCGTCATCATCGAAGAGGAAGCGGCCGCAACGACAAGGGCAGCCCAGCTAGGCCTAAGAACTATCTTCACGGACGGATCGTACAGAAACGGCCTCACCGGTATCGGAATCTACGCACCAAGTATCCCAGGACTTGAGAAATCTAGTACAATAGGATTTGCACCGAGTACAGACGCCCTCCAAGCGGAGCTTATAGCTATCTCGGAAGCCATCTCGGAAGCAACCGCTAAGATCCCGGCAATAGGCTGGAATCTCGACCAATACTATATCCTATCCGACTGCCAGAAGGCCCTAGGCATGGTTAAAAGACCGCAATGGAAAAAGAACAAACCTCTCCAGGAGATCTTCCAGAAACTAGCAGAGGCTAAGAAAAGAGGGTTCACCTTCACCTTCCATTGGGTGCCAGCGCACAAGGGAATACAAGGTAACGAGAGAGCCCACGACCTCGCCCAACTCGCTACTACCACCGGATCTGGACCAGAAGAGCATACCATAGTACTAAGACACGCGATCAAGCAAGGAAGGAGCCACCCAGAGGCAAAGAGAAAGGCCTTCCTAGCCAAAAAGACCGGACGCCTCGCGAAGGACCTCGACAAAGCACTACCGAGCAGACATACAAGAAAGCTCTACGACAAGCTATCGAGAGCCCAAGCAGCCCTACTAGTACAAGCCAGATCAGGATACTGTCGCCTCAACAGCTACCTCTACAAGATCGCACAGGCCGAAAGCAGCGACTGTGTATGCGGAGCAACAGAGAGCGTCCCCCACTTTATACTAGAATGCACGAAATGGGACGAACAGAGACAGCAACTGAAGACAGTGGCGGGAGCCCGAGCAAGAGACCTGCCTTTCCTCCTTGGAGCGTACGAATCAGAACAGAAGGACGGCCCGATCAAACGATGGTCTCCGAACACGGAAGTAGTTACGGCGACGATACAGTTCATCCAGGATACTGGAAGACTAGACCCAGGAACATGACATCCCTCTACACCTTCTCTCCTCCACCTTCTCTCCTAGTTATACATTCCCTTCTACTAACTATATGGTCCCAACCCTCCGATCCGACGCTGTGCCCGAGTAAGAGCAGCGTCACTCTAGATCAGAACCTAGAAGAACAGAGGCATTCAGCAAACTGACCATCTTATTCCCTTAACACAGTTATAATATTTCCCTATGTTAGCCGCAGATATAGAAGCTAGTTAGAAGACCGAAGATAGAAAATGGGGGCACAAGGCCACAAGGCACCAATGTATGTAATTAGTCAGCTTAGGTAGTTCCCCACATGGGCCTCGCCGAGAGGCCTGACGGGCGTATGAATCTCTCTCTCTCTCTCTCTAAATATGGCTCTCCACCCAACTAATTCGTTGGGCCTAGTCCCGTATCTCGATTCGTCAGATTTTGATGGAAATGAGGAGGGAAGTGAGGAGGAAAGTGAGGAGGAAAGTGAGGAGGAAAGTGAGGCTGGAGATAGTGATATGGAGGAGAGCTTTGCGACTGCAGACGAGAAGATTAGCGATGAGATCGACTAAGATATAGAGGACTTACCTGACTCCTTCTTCAACGACTTCCCAAATACGATACAGGAGGACTATATTGTTATGGGTTGAAACCCTTGGTTGGCTCAGGCTGAGAGCCTAAGCCTGATTAGGTTAAGGGTAAATCAGAGTCCAACCTCTCCGATGTAAACAAGAAAGCTTCTGTTGTGAAGACGACAAAAGTAGAAGACTGATTATGCCTGGAGGAACGAAGTTCCGTAAGGTCTTTGTGGACGCCTGAGGGCCAACTTTTCTCCCAACTCAAACTTAAATCACATGATATTCACGTGAGTTTCACGTGATTTCCGTTCCTTCACCCCAACCTTCGTCGACATCGCGATCGCCGCCCGATTTAGCCCGTATGATATGATTCTAACGAGCTATGAAACTACACGCTCGGCATCGTTCACTCGCCGTTCGCTGACACCGCCTGATTCTGACCCCGCGCCTGACTGAGTCCGATCGTCGGGACTCAATCCGATCGTTGAGACTTGACTCTGATTGTCAAGACTGACTCCGATCATAAAGACTCGAGAAAAAGAGGAGGGATGCGAGGGAAAAAAAAGAGGCGAAGTCTCCCCATCATTAAGCGATCAATGTTACAAAGGGTCGGTTTTCAATGTCTCTCG